GCAGCAGCAGCAGCAGCAGCAGCAGCAGCAGCAGCACCAGCAGCACCAGCAGCAGCAGCAGCAGCATCATCAGTAGTAGCCGCATCATCAGAAGTAGCAGCGGCAGCAGTAGCGGCTTTGGTAGCCTCCGCTGTGTCTTGTCTAAAGGCGCCTGAGAGCAGGCTCGTGGCTGGAAGCAGTCGGGTAGACGCGAGTTGTTCCATCGGCTCAACACTGCCGTCCTCTGCTGCTCCCACCAGTGACGCTGCTGCTTATGGATATGACCAGGGAGTGCAATGGCCAGCATCCTTTTCGGACAACAGTGCACTTAGCAGAATCCGAGTCAATAAGGCGCACAGCAACCTACAGAACACTGCCCGGGACAGTGCAGAGCACAGCACAGGAAGCAGGGCGTTCGTCGCTGTCCCCCACGTTGTTGCATTCGGTCCTGAGAGGCCCCTGCGAGTGGATGTGACAGGCATGTTGCCACGGCCCATATGTGGCGCGAGGGAGGGCATGCTGAAGCAGCAGCTCATGGCTCTCGCTGAAGCCATGGCCGTTGATGACTCGGTGCGTGAGGCTTGTGTGAGGTGGGGATGGGATGCCTAGTCAGGAACTAGGCATGGTTTGTGATAGTTGGCATGCACACACCTCTCTCCTTCCCTTGCTCCCGGCCCTTTCCCTGCCCCCCCTGCCCCGACCCTGCCCCCACCAGGTGCGGTGGCGGCAGGTCATGCGGCAGGTGCGGAGGGAGGCAGCAGCGGGGGGGGACACGCTGCAGCGCATCGCCTTCCACGCGCTCCAGGCACTAGAGGCGCGCATGGATGGCACCGCGCTCACCCGCTGGCAAACCCCTTTGAATGTCACCCTTCAGGTACTTCCTTCCTCCCTCCCCACCTTCCCCACTCCCCACCTTCCCCACTCCCCACCTTCCCCATTCCCCGCCTTCCCCATTCCCCGCCTCCCCCTCTGGCCAGCGTTGTTAGACATCTCTATGCGTACATGTATCTGGATGCGTATACGTTGTTCACACACACTCATTCACACACGCGCGCCGTGCGAGCGCTAACTCTACGTGCTCTGTGGTTTCTGCTTTGGACACGTCCCCTTTCAGGTCAGCCCCTCTATGTGCTAAGCTTACAGTTTTCATTTCGTGGATGCCACATGCCATGCCATGTGCCCATGCATGCCACTTGTCCCATGCATGCCACGTGTCCCATGTACGCCACGTGTCCCATGCATGCCACTTGTCCCATGCATGCCACGTGTCCCATGTGAGCAGGATTCAATGGCAGTGTTGGGCCATGGCAACGAGCATGGGGTGCCGGCATTCATGCACCTCGCCAACATTGCAGCCGTGCATGAAGTCGTTCGCGTGTTCACCCACCAACCACAACCACATGCACACGCACGTGCACGTGCACGCCCACACGCACACGCACAGAATTGTGGCCACCCTCACGCTCCACACCCTGCTTCTCTCCCGCAGCCTGCCCATCTCCCTCCTGCCACCTCTCCCTCTGCCGGCCAGTCGGTGCGGCGGCGGCGGCTGCACATCATAGCCGTGGGGTTCTACGGCGGGCCGCACTGGATCAACATCCTCATGCGCCTCGCCGCCCACTTCTCCACCCTGCCGCTCCTCCCCGACACCGCCAATGCCGCCCCTGCCGCCGCCACCCCTGCTGCCACCGCCCCTGTGGCAGGCAGCAATAGCTCTACCAGCAGCGGCAGCACGAGTGGCAGCAGTGGCAGCACACACCCCGCACCGCACGCCTCAACTCCTCTCACACCTCCTGTAGACGCGCCACTCAGCTCATCCCCTACCATCGCTGCTCCCCCGCCTCGCCCCACAGTCCACGTGAGAATCACAGCCATTGATTTCGGGATCATAAAAGTGGAGGAGCATCCGACGGGCCTGGTGCATCTGGGGGGGCAGTACCTGGAGCAGGTGGCATCCATGCTCGGCCTCCCTCTCTCCTTTCATGGCATAGAAACCACCCCACACGACTTCCACCCGTCACAAGTGGAGGTGGATGAAGGCGAGGAGGTGGTGGTACTGGCCAATTGGGGCCTCATGGTCTTTCCGGACGACACAGTCCTTCGCTCCAATCCCCGCAATGCCATTCTCAAGTGGATCCGTGATCTGCGCCCGCTGCTGCTCCTGCAGGTGGATATAGACCTAGATGCCAATGGGCCCTTCTTCCTCTCGCGCTTCCACGCTGCCTTTGCCAACTTCGCGGCATTCATCGAGTCCTTTGATGCTTCCATGCCGCACTCTGCCTCGCCACGCTTCGTAGCCGAAACCATTCTGGCGAGGGATCTAATGAACGGGGTGGCATGTGAGGGCATGAACAGATGGCTGCGGGCGGAGCGGCTTGATAAGTGGGTGCATCGGATGAGAGCGGTGGGGCTGGAGCCGGTGCCGATAGGGCCGGACACAGTGGCTGCTGGGAAGGAGATCACAGAGTGCAGGGATGGGCGGTTCAGGTTAGAAGTGCATGGTGAGAGTGGTGCCCTGCAGCTCAGCTGGCGTGGTGTTCCTATGATCTTCATAGCGGCCTGGAGATGAGTCTGGCATTGGCCCTTGGAAATAAGGTCACTCTGATCCTCAGTTGGCAGGGCAACGACAAGGGCACCGATGCCAATAAGACTGGTGGTCTCATCCAACCCTGGTAAGATTCAGGTTATGCCCTCCCCTGATTTTTTTTTTTTCCCTTCTTTCCTCAGTTTTTTTGTTTGTTTCTTGTGCTGATCAGTCTTTCCGTTTTCCTGACTGATCTCCTTTTTTCCCTGACTCTTCCGGACTTCCTGAACAGTTGCTGCTGATACCGTCCATTTTGCTGATCAGGCGTCCATGCGTTTTTTTGTAGTACATTCCACTATTGTCATTAGGTAAGTGGTGCCGTAGAGCAGATGTACACATTCATATCAACTTTTTTCTAGGTGGCTGCCAGGGTTGAGGGTAATGCTAATGAGAATTTGAGAAATGCTAATGAATTATCTTCTCCAGGAATGAAGGTGTTCACCGTATTTTTATATCATTTGTAGGGACTGCTTTTTTTGGGGTTCTGTGTCCCAAGATCCCGCCGATTTCCGTCGTTATTGGTCTTTCTGGTCACTTGGGCTTCGGATCGCAGGTTCCTCTTGCCAAGTGTAGTAGTGAGCATCCGTCCGTTCGTCTCCTCTCCCTTACATACTGGGTAGGCTTTTCCGCTGCGCGGTGACGCTCGGCGATTATGAATGGTGTCGCGATCGTCGTTTCCATCTGAACGTTCTATCCCTCCGGACTTAGTCTGCCAGATTTCTCTCTAGTCTGTGCGGAGTTTTCTCGAGTCGAGTTTAACCAGTCCTCAGCTATGCCATCTAACGTCCGCGCACCGATTTGATTCGCCGAACCAAAGCCTCTGTAGCGCGCTTCGGTTGCAAGGGAAGAGATGGCGAAGCGCCGGTCGTCGTTTCCCATCGTGCGATGGCTGCTCATCGCCTGCGCGTTCACATTCGTCCTAGTTCAGGTCGGCGCGCGTCGCTGTCGTTCTTGTAAATGCGATCGCTCGCAGCACTGCCTTAATGTCCCGGGGTCGAATTTACTGCTTTCAGATTCCTGCTCAATGTCTCAATCTCAATCCTGCGAGATCTTCTCGCATTGCAGTCTCGGTCGAGGGTGTGGTCCCATCGCATTGCAGTCCTTCTTGTAAATTCACTCGGATCGCCCTAAATTCGATCGCAGCACTGCCGCCAGGCCTCAATTTCTGTGTCCAATTCCTGCGATCGCTCTTATCTTATAAGAGATGTGCAATCCGCTCCGCAGTCGTTTCGTCCAGACTAGCCATTTATTTTTTCTGCACTCCCATGATCGTCCGTCTCTATTTCTTGGGAATTTGAATCCGGGCAGATTCGGATGTTGATGGTTGGAACGGAGTGCTCGGACCGCGTGAAGGTGCTCATGGAGGCGCAGCGCAAGTGGGCCAACGAGGCTCGCGCGCTGCGGAAGAACCTCACCGATGTTACCCGTGAGTGTAACCGTGACGTGCGGTAAGCCGTGAGTGCAAATGTTACATGCGACCATCATCGCTCACCATTTGCCGAGTGTACTGAGTGAGGTTCCAGGCCGTTAAATGAACTTCTGACCACATGTCTTTTCCCACGCACTGCGTGCAGGGGACGCAATGGGACTGGAAGAGGAGCTAGAGAGGGCACAAACCGCGTACAAGCACGTGCAGCAAGGTGGGTGGCGCAGAATGAGTACAAGCACGTGCAGCAAGGCAAGCAGCCGATTGTTGAGGTGGCCTCAAACTCGGTGTGGGGCTCAAAAGGTCGCCTGGGATGTCTGGGATGCTGGTTTTGCATGTAAATTGTGCTGCATTCGCTCTATTCGTTGTTGCTCACTTTGCCGTTTGCACCAGTATTGCAGCCTCTACTTATCCCTGTCCCTGTGTCCTCGTACCTGTTGCTCCCCCTGTGCTTGCACCCCCCGCTGTCTCGTGCCTGCTGTGTCGCGGAAAACACCTACTATTGACTTACTGTGTTGCTGCGCCATGCTGCCTTGGATCCATCATCCATGGTGGATGCGGCTGTGGGGTCTGCGGCTTGGTGTAATGCCCGCCTGCGGCCTGCGTGCTGCCTGCGTGCTGCCCGCCTGCGGCCTGCGTGCTGCCCGACTGCTCACCGCCTGGCCACCCGGTGCCTGTCTTGGTATTGCAGAGCTGGTGAGTTGCTCTCAAGTCCCTTCTGCTGGGAGGTCGTAGTGTGTTGTAGTGCTAGTGCCCTTGTTTCGCCCCCGAACGTTGAGCCAATGTTGAGAAGCATGCATACCCATGTCCGCGTGCAGGAAGCTGCACAGAGGAGACAGCAGCAGCAGAAGGCGCAAGAGCAGAGCGCGCAACAGCAGCAACAGCAGAAACAAGAAGCAGCACATGTAAAGGCAGCGACGGAAGGGCAGGCAGGAGCAGGGGGAGCGGGGGGTAGCATACGAGGGGGAAAGTGCAGGATGGGGGGGTGGTGCTGGCAGGGAGAATGGGGAGGATGCGGGGAGGGGGGGAGGCAAAGGATGCAGTGGCGGCTGTGGTGATCATGGCGTGTAACAGAGTGGACTATCTCGACCGCACCATTAAATCCGTGTTGCTGTGAGTATTGAGGTGACTTTTGAGTTGACTCAAAGGATGCAGTGGCGGCTGTGGTGATCATGGCGTGTAACCGAGTGGACTATCTCGATCGCACCATCCAATCTGTGCTGCTGTGAGTACCAAAGTTCGTGGTGTTTCAAAGTGGAGATTTGAAAACTCTCACACAAAACCTTGAGACGCCGCAATGCTCACACAGCAAGTGTGCCCTTCCATTCGAAGTGCTGCCTTTAGTTGCCATGATTCAAAGTGTTTTGAGTAAATCTCCTCCTTGTTCACTCACAGCATTCCACACCCATCCTGCTTCCTCGGCCATGCCCGTCCCCCTCAACATCCTGTGTTCTCTGCCTTGCCCGCACTACTTACCCTCCCTGCAGGCACCACAAGGGTGCTGACAGCAAGTTCCCCCTCTTCATCTCACAGGTACCACATGCCCCTTGCATAGGCTCGTTTTGCATGGCTTGGCATGGCATGGCAAGAGATGGTATGACATTGTCTGATGGCGCATGGCATGGCATGAGATGACAGCCCATCGTATCGCCCGGCTTTCTGATTTTGTTTCCTCCAACTGTCGCCTTCCCCGTGCGTATGTGTGGTTGGACTCAGGACGGCACGAATGCAGGCGTCAAGGAGAGGGCCAAGCAGGCCCACCAGTTCACCTACCTGCAGGTGAGCTCATTCCTGCACTTCACGTGCCAACTGGTGAGTGCTGCAAGACAGCTGCTAGTAGGGGATTTTGGCAAGACAACTATTTGCAGGTGTGCAACAATTTTCAGCTCCTCATACACCTTCGGTCGCCTCATCCCCCTTCCCCCTCCTGTTGTGTGCCTGTCCGCGTGTGCCTGTCTGTGTGCCCGTGTGCCTGTATGCGTGCCTGCCTGTGTGCCTGTATGCGTGCCTGCCCGTGTGCCTGTATGCGTGCCTGCCTGTGTGCCTGTATGCGTGCCTGCCTGTGTGCCTGTATGCGTGCCTGCCTGTGTGCCTGTATGCGTGCCTGCTTGTGTGCCTGTATGCGTGCCTGCCCGTGTGCCTGTATGCGTGCCTGCCTGTGTGCCTGTATGCGTGCCTGCCTGTGTGCCTGTATGCGTGCCTGCCTGTGTGCCTGTATGCGTGCCTGCCTGTGTGCCTGTATGCGTGCCTGCCTGTGTGCCTGTGTGTCTGTGTGCATGCAGCACATCGAGACAGCACCACCAAGAATGAACAACGCGGGGGAGAACATTGCCTATTACAGAATAGCAGGTGGGGATGCGGGTAGTTTCTTACAGCCCCCTTTTCTGTGTATGCTCGGTTCTATCGCGGTGCTTTTCTGATGGCCCCTCGCTCAATACTTATCCCATGTGCTTCCTATAGTGCCACGCCAGTACCCCACAGAACACACGTCGTACTGCTCGTGTGTAAAGCTCTCCGTTGTACAGTAAGGAGTACAAACAAGAGGTGTCCACGTCCCCTGCCCTCCCTACTCTACACCCCTGCCCACGCCCTCCCTGCTTCTCACTATCCATGCATGCTCACAAGTCCAGAGCACTACACAGTTCGCCCTCACAGAGCACTTGACATGCTCATTTGATCTGCCTAGTGCAACACACACTTAATGCATACACGCCCCTGCACGCCCTGACTGCTGCATCTCACCCCCAGTGCATGCCCACAAGCGCAGAGCACTACAAGTTGGCGCCCTCACAGAGCTTTCATCTGCTTCTTGTAACATACGCTCAGTACAATCTCCCTTTCCCTGCCCACGTTCTCCCTGCGTCTCGCTATCCATGCGTGCCCACAAGCGCAGAGCACTACAAGTTCGCCCTCACAGAGCTCTTTGACCGACGGCAGTTTCCACGTGTCATCATTCTCGAAGGTACTCTTTCCAGCACTCCTGCTTCGCCGTCACTCACTCCTGACGTATTGCCGTTCATTATACAGCCCTCGTCATGCCCTCTAACAGTCATATACTTTGCCACCCGCCCACCCACCCACCCACCCACCCACTGATGCACCCATCCCCGTGTCTTTAACCTCCTTCCCCCACATGTCCTTCCATCCAGATGACATGGAGCTAGCTCCTGACTTCTTTGATTATTTTGAGGCCGCCTCCAACCTGCTGGATGTGGACGAGTGAGTGATGGCCTGTGGTGCAGTGCGGTATGGTGGGATGCATTGTGGTGGGAAGTGGCATGTTGCTGTGCGCCCGGGGGCCATCTAGTACGGTGCAGTGTGATTCAAGCGATGCGATGCTCCTGTGCCGTCGGGATGCAAGGCGACGTGGTGCACTTCAGTGCTTTGTCACATGGACGACAACGCATTTACCTCCATCTTCCCCCTCCCATCTCAGGTCCATCCTGGCAGTCTCCTCCTGGAACGACAACGGGCAGAAGCAATTCGTGCGTGACTCACACCAGCTGTACCGCTCGGACTTCTTCCCGGGGCTGGGCTGGATGCTGAGGAGAGAGCTGTGGGCGGAGCTCAAACCCAAGTGGGCCCGCGCCTACTGGGACGACTGGCTGCGCCTCCCGGAGCAGCGCAAGGGCCGCCAGACCATCCGCCCGGAGGTCTGCCGAACCTACAACTTTGGAGAGCATGTGAGTCTGTCTGCCAGCAGGTTCGGGAGCACTCTACTTTAGCTATGTTTTTGTCTCTGTAGTCTTCAAACATAGAACCTGTGGCCTTGAATTGAGTGCAAGCACCTTGGCAAATTTCTCTCAGCAGTGGTAGCCCAGCAGACCCACTTATCCAAGCCCCACCCTCTTCGCCTCTTCTGTTCCCTGTCTCTGTCCCTCTCCTATCCTCCAGGGCTCCAGCATGGGTCAATATTTCAGCCAGTACCTAGCACCCATAAAGCTCAACACCGAGCCCATCAACTGGGCTCAGAAGGATCTCAGCTATCTGCTGGATGTCAGCTACCCTTCCTACATGCTCTCCCAGCTGCGCTCCGCTCGCCTCATCCCGCGCGCAGCCGTCAACACCGAGGTGGTAACCCCATCGGAGCTTGGTTACGATGTGATGGTGGAGTATCGGGATGAGAGTAGTTTCGCGGAGCTTGCGGGGGAGTTAGGCGTGTTTCAGGAGTGGAAGGCGGGAGTGCCTCGCACAGCTTATAGCGGGGTTGTAGTGTTTCGGTACCACGGGCCGCATCGAGTGTTTTTTGTTGAGCGGAGAGGGCTGGCGAAGTTGGGATTTAAGCTGCCGGCAAGCAGATAGGGTCGAGGTCTTGCCAGAGATTAGGAGCTAGTGTGTTCAGAGCTTGGTAGTTTGTACAAAATCACCATGCAGAGGCAAGTACAGAAAAGCTACATGCTGATGGTGACTCTGTGCTAACTGTGTTCTGAATTTGAGAGACTCATGTTAGTGCTCTCATAACGCGGACAGGCTTCAGCTACGTGCCTGGCCATTAGTGGTTGCTGGCCACGTGGCGACCGATTGACCACTGCACATGCATCTAGCTGTGCCCTCAACTGTTGTTGCGAAACTCGCCAAGTGCTCATCGCGCCAGGCCCATGAGTGGCGCACGCCTCGCAAATCGATTCTCCAAGTTTCGTTCGATCCTTTCCCGCAGAAAATCCAGCATCCAGAATTCTGCCCACGGAGATATCGGAGAGCTTTTCTCCTGCTAAGGCGTGCTCGCAGTAGGCCAAACCCATTTATCTGATTCCCTGCGCCACGCAGATTTGCCCTTCTCTGCGCCCACACTGACACTGCGTGCTACACGGAACACAGTACGAATCGCGCATTTCAACTTGCTTGCCGCGCTCGCTCTCTCACGCCTCTCACGCCGCTCACGCCGCTCTTGATCTCGGCTCCTGAAGCAACTTTTTACCGCCAGCTTCTCTATTTACTTTCGCGGATGCAATATTTGAAGGGCTCGTACTAGTTCGTCAAGTCCGCAGTGAAGCATTTATGACGGTCCGCCGACGGCAAGCCGTCTCGCTCGTCTGCACCTGTTAGTGCCCTCCTCAAACCCCTGTGCTGCTGTGCTGAGGCATCGAATTCTGCTAATCGGAAACCGCTCCTTCGCATCCCGTGGTCATGGCCTCAACGCGCCTTTGCCACGTGTCCGCCTCCCTGTCCGCCTCCCTGTCCGCCTCCCTGTCCCACCGCACGCTTCTCCCCGATCCTTCACACCCGACCTTCGATTTCACTCTAGCAGCGCGCCCAGCCGTTCCGCACCGGCGGCGCGCCCTCCGCGTATCCGCTCCGCGCGCGCAAGCCGACGATGGCTCGAGTCAGAGAAGCGGGCCGCGGTGGGACCCGTTATTAGCAGACTCGGGAACGGACTGCCCGGTTCCGGAGGAGCAGCAGCCTATTAACGAGTACCAGAGCCTCCTAGAGAGCGCGGTGTTCCCATGGGTCACGCTGGACAGTCTTAGCTACGCGCTGCGGCTCGTGGGCGTTGGAGTGGTTGTCTCCGCGCTGATTGGCTGGCCCGTCGCGTCGCTGACGTTCGATCCCAAGGTAGGGCCTGCGGAATTTCGAGGTAGAGGCTGAGGTATCTCAGAGTAAGAAGCAGAGCAGAACAGATTTAGACAAACCAGAGTCCACTGTTAGGAAAGGTGGACCAATTCCGAAGCCTTGGGAGCTCCAAATTCTCCTTAGTCCTCCTCTCTCTTTACCCCGCCTCTTGCTTCCTTCCTCCCCCCCTCTTCTTCGCCCGTCCTGCCTCTCTCGCCCCTTCTTCACACCCCCCTGGCGCCCTCCCCACACTTCCCAACATTCCCCACTCACTTCCCCTTCCCTCTCTCCCCCCTTCCCTCTCTCCCCCCTTCCCTCTCCCCCTCCCTCCCTCCCTCCCTCCCTCCCTCCTCCTCCCCCTCGTCAGAGGGACGCGTTACAGTGTTTGCTAGGGTCGCTGGGCGGCGGGCAGTTGGCAGTTACTTTGGCGGCGCTTCGGCTGTATCTGGGGTGGTCGTACATCGGCAACAGACTCTTCAGTGCTACAGTGGAATGTGAGCTATATTCTAGTAGCCGGTACTCATAATAATCAGTTCTACTGTTTTACACACACACCCCATTCTTCCCCCCCCCCCTCCCCCACCCCACACACACACCTGCACACACTTACCTTTCTAAAGCTCCTTGAGTATCTCTCACCTTCCCCCTCCCCCTCCCCCTCCCCCTCCCCCTCCCCCTCCCCCTCCCCCTCCCCCTCCCCCTCCCCCTCCCCCTCCCCCTCCCGCTCCCACTTTATAACCCGCAGACGAGGAGACGGGGTGGTACGACGGGCAGGTGTGGGTGAAGACCCCCGAGCTGCTGGCACGAGACAGGCTGCTCGCCTCCTACAAGGTACGTTGGAGGAGGCCGCACAGCACACAGCAGAGAACCTGCCGCTTCCTAGCCTCGCTATGCCCCTGTTGCATGCGCTGTGTGCTCCATCCATGTACCCCACCCTTTCATCTCTCTCATCCCTGTCTCTCCTCAGCCTCAAGATGAATTCAGTCTGAATCGCCACAACCAATCTCTCCACAACCAATCTCCCCCTCCTGCCCTCTACAGGTGAAGCCAGTCCTGAATCGCCTCAAGTCCACCCTCCTGGGCTTGGGCCTCTCCCTTGCCGCCACCACCGCCCTTCTCTTCCTCCTCCCCTCCTCCTCCTCCGCCTCCTCCTCCCTCTCCAGCTTCACTCCTGCCTCCTACATCCCGGACTCACCTGCCACGTCGGCACTGACAGCGCAGGAGCGAAGAGCTGGTCAGGTGGTGGGAGGGGATTATATGGAAGATGAAGTGGTCCAGGCATCCCCGCTACTAAATAATATTCCTGGGTGTGGGCCAACAGGATCAGCGGGGCAAGATGATGTTTGAATTGTTGGGAGTATGGAACACCGCATCTCTGTGTGTGCAATAAATTCTGGTCATCAATCTCATCTGCTTCTGCGCCCTTCTTATTGTGATACGTTACTTGCTCTCGATGTATCATTTTGTTTATCCATCCATCCATCATATGACCCTTGGGGAGTGGTACAAACTCCTCCACGGTGAATACAAGGAGACACAAGGAATACCCGAATCATGTGAAGGGTTGCACAATTACCTTGGAAATCACATTATCTTGTTCGTGCTGTGCTATTAACGAAGCATTGCGCCACGACAATCAAATCGGCTGGTGTACGCTATCCCACGTTTTCGTACCAATCACCGCTCTACGTGGCGAAATGGCCACGATGAATTCGCGTGCGTATTCTTGCAGAACCATTCGCCTTGGTTTCTGGATTCACGCTCTCCCCCTCTGGCTGGCTCGGGCAATTGATGAGAGGCGTTTCTGAGCTTTCTCATCCCGTGTCTGCTCCGCCTCGCCGACCGCCTCTCCCGTTCATCTTCCGCAGAGCCCATTTCACCATTCCTGTAGAGCGCGAAGCCGCAATTCGGTGAAAGACATCTTCGAAGCTTCTCAAACTCATCACGCTTTTGCCGCCAAACACGTAAGCCGGCAAGGTCGTTCGACTGTTAATGTCGGCCCCGCTCGTCTTTAGATCATTTCCTCGCTCTTCCCTCCACCGCATCTGCGCGCACGACATCCCTCAATTCAATTTCCGCCGCGCGTCGACTGTTTTCCCTGCGACTTTCCGTTGTGACTTCCATTTAGTAGTTATACTCAGCGACATTGCATGCATTCCTGGGAGTCGCGCGTCCTCGCCGCCTATTATCACACTGCATTGTCTCACACCCGCTAGCCTTCCGACATATCGGAGAGCTTCCCGGAACCTTCATTCGCACCTTCCACGTAATACTGCCGAGGTGCCCTCAACGCGCTCACCCGTTCAACGACTGACACGTGGCACACATTCGTTCGTCACTGCAACCTCAATGGAGGCCGCACCTGCGCTCGATGGACACCCGTCCGCACCGACCGCGACGGCGCGAGTCGCGGTTGTAGGCGCGGGAATCTCGGGGCTCGTCGCCGCGTCGATACTCGCGGAGCGCGGGGCACACGTGTTGGTGTTTGATTTGGGGAGGGGTCCTGGCGGTCGCATGTCGCAGCGGAGGGAAAGCATCACCGTTCCGCCACGTGTCAGTTCCGCCGAGTCAGCCGTCGACCTGCCGAACCTAGAGGCCAGGTTCGACCACGGCGCGCAGTACTTCACTATCAACGACCCGAACGTGCTGACGTTCCTGGAGCAGCGGTTCGGGGGAACGGGAACGGGGGCGCTGGCGGAGTGGAAGGGACGGTTTGGTACGTGGGACGCGGAGAAAGGGAAATTTATCCCGGAGGAGGGAGAGGACGCGGGAAAAGTGCAAGAAGAGGGTAACTTCGGGATCAAGAAGCGGTTTGTGGGTGTACCAGGAATGAATGCCCTCTGTCAGACGCTGCTTCTCCCCTCACCCATGGCTTCCGCGGTAAACGTCAACGTTAGATTCGGCGTCCAGGTGGCACGAGCGAATTTGCTAGAGCACAAAAACCCTGCAGGTGTATCTGATGTAGACCAAGGCACCCCTCTCTCTCCGTCTTGGGAGCTTTTCTCGTCTTCCGGAGATTCCCTAGGTTGCTTCGACGGCCTGGTAATTGCTGCGGCATACAGAACCATGCCTGTGGTCCTCCCTGACCTGCCGAGCCTAGCTCAGGTTCGGCAGGGTCTGGCGGAGGTCCGGGCGTCGCCCAGGTTTGCGATGATGCTGGCGTTTGCCGAGCCTCTCAGCCACGTGGCGTTTGACGGGGTGGATGTGGTGGGGAGTGACGTGGTGGGTTGGATTGGGCGGGACAGCAGCAAGCCGGGCAGGGTAAGGAGAGAAGAAGGAGGGTACCATGAGGAGCAGTATGCAGAGTGTTGGGTGGTTCACTCCACGGCTCATTACGCCTCCTCCCTCCTCGCCTCTGCTCCCCCCGGCCGCCCCTCCCCGGAGCTCCTTGCACGCGTGGCAGATGACATGTGGCGCGCTGTCAAGCCGGTACTGCTAGGTGGCAGTGGGAGGGGAGGTGGTCAGAGTGTGGGAGGAGTGGAGGGGGGAGAAGGTTTAGAGCCGGTTTTGAGGAAAGTGCACCGGTGGGGAGGGGCGTTTCCTGTAGCGGGGGTGGCTGCAGCAGGGGAAAAGTGTCTGTGGAGCGAGGGGGGCAGGGTGGCAGCGTGTGGGGATTTCTGTGTGGGAGGGCCTGTGAGAGGGTTGGTGGAAGGCGCTGTGGCTAGCGGCATGGAGGCGGGGCGGAAGCTAGGTGATGCGCTCAGGCTGGGAAGAAGTGCTCTTTGAGTGAGGATAACGCTGCCAAGCTGTCATGTGCGGGGGCCAGTGGGGGGGCTGGTGGAAAGCGCTGTGATTAGTGGCATGGAGGTGGGGCGGAAGCTGGGCGATGCTCTTCGGCTGAGAAGAAGTGCTCTGTGAGGGTGATGCTGTCAAGCTGTCATGTGAAGGCGGATGGTGATGTCAGCTCTGCCAAGGGACTAAGGGTGTTGTGAACCAGTGAGGGTGAGATCATGTGTGTGGAGAGCTGGCCAGAGACGGGTTATTTGAGGGCAATGACATGCCGTAGTTGCTTTGATTTTATTGAAAGCCGGTTGGAGATTGCTGGCAAGCAGTACCGAATGTCATTCACGTTCATTCCTTGTGGCTGGTTCAAGGTAGTATGGTACTTTGATTCTTTTGAAGGTACCTTATCATGGTAATAGCACCTGCATAGCAGAAGTGAGATTGTATTGTTTACAGATGCTGCCAACAGGCAGATCTGGTATTCCGTTAATGAAGTGTGTCATTATTGATTACAAAGATGTACTGATGGTAGGATCTCCTCTTTTCTATAGGAATCTTGTTGTGGAAGGAATATCTAGGTGAATTGTGAAGTACATCAAGCTTAGTGAGATAAAAGACAATCGCGAAACGAAGCATTCCCTCTGACAGGAACATTCTTCCGCGTCGTTCCTCCTGATCGCTCCTCCACCCTGCTGTTCCGGCGGCCATTGTAGTGACACGGTTTTTCGTCATGGCGGAGCTGGGTGGATGACAGCAGGGGGATTAGCGCCTGTTAGGTTTGAGTTATCAAAGGGTCAGGGGTCATGTGGTCTTGCTTCCGCGCTGCATCGCGCGCCGCTGTGAGATCATCTGGGAAGCACGCTGGTTGCGAGATTCGTTCGTTCGTCGCCGCCAGATCAAGTCCGCTAGACTGCCACGTCAGCCTGCATCGGTCGATCGCCTGTGCTTCGCATTCAGCATCCACGTGGCGATCTGGCGAAGCGAACAAAGCTCTCATTCGTAGGTGGCTTGGTCGGGAATTGAACAGCTACGGTGCAGATGGTCTGGCTCGACGTCCGCCTCGGAGTCTGGTTCGTAGTCCGGTTCGTCAGGCCGAACCTCTCGGCGTTTACGCAAGGACCCATCCGCCGGTCTTCTATCCATTAACCTTCCGCCAGTCTCAAGCAGCCGCGTGTCGGTCGTTGCTGCCGGTAGTAAGCTCCGCCCACACCTATAGCAGTGACAGTAGCAACAGCGGTAGCAACAGCAGCAGCATCAGTGCCAGCAGCAGTGGCAGCAGTAGTGGCAGCAAGTATAACGTGGGCATTGAGCAAGGGCCGATCGCTCCTGACAATGGCGCGCCTAGAAATCCGGAGACACGTGGCAGCACAAGTCACACTGGCACGCGAGTTCCCCAGCGGACGGGTCAGGGTTACCCAGCACAGGGTTACCCAGGACAGGGTTACCCAGGACAGGGTTACCCAGGACAGGGTTACCCGAGACAATTCTATCCGGGACATGGTTACCCAAGACAGGGTTACCCGAGACAAGGTGACCCGAGACAGGGTTATTCGGGACAGGGTGACTCGAGACAGGGTTACCCGGATCAGGGTTTCCTGAATGAGCAAGATTGGCGATTGGAGCGAAGCCAAGTCAAAATGCGAGCTCGCGAACTGCTGTGGCGAATGAGCCAAGCATCAGCGTCTGGTAACTACGACCTTCTGCTATCGCTAGCTGGGAAACCACTGAGCGAGAAGGAAAGGCATGGGCGGGAGAGAGTTGAGCGGATTGGCAGCAGCGGACAGAGAAGCCAAGACCAGAGGAGAATGGGCCGTGAAGGCAGTGGAAGGGATGAGACATGTGGCAGCAGCGACAGCAGCAGCAGTTTCAGTCGTAGCAGCAGCATAAGCAGCACGGAGAGCGCGAGAGGCAGTAGCAGTGGTGGCAGCGGAAGGGCAGAGTCAAGAGGAGCAGGAGCAGGAGAACTGTCCTCTGCAGCCCCTGAAGCAACACCACCTAAAGGATCACCGCCTGAATTATCACCTGCTGTTTCACCTGGGAGCATTTTACCCGAGAGCGTTTCACCTGGGAATTCGATAAAGCCCTCCTCAGAAGCAACGGCTGGGAACGTTTCACCTGACAGCAGCATGCCACGTCAGCCCTATCTGCTGCCAGCACGGAGCGTCCGTGCAGTGCTGCACACACTGCGCCAGCAGCGAGCACCAATGGTGGCCGTCCACGTGTACTGGAGGCTGAGGGCAGCTGGACACCTGTCGTCCCACTGCAATGACGTGGCAATCGCTGCGTGCTGTGGCGTGGAGGCGGAATATCGACTGGCGGAGTATGAGAGAGAGGAGGGGCAGCAGGGGAGTGGTTGGGGCGGGGGAGGTGCTCGGAGGAAGGGAGGAGCAGCGGATATGAGTTTTTTGGGGAGCTCTGATGGGCGTTTAGGGGTGCTGGCTATGGACGGCGGCGAAGGGGGCGAGGAGGGAGAGGAGGCAGAGGAGGGAGGAGATGGAGAGGAAGAGGACGAGGAGGAAGAAGGGGAGGGTGGAAGTGAAGGTGGAGGGATGGAGGAGGGTACGGACAGTCAGGAGGTGCTGCAGCAAGTGGGGGGGAGCAGGAGGCAGAGCGAGGGAAGGCGCAGCAGGGGCAGGGCGCGTCCATGGATGCTCTCCAGCCCCACCGTGCAAGCAGCACTAGGCAGCCACGCCCCTGCCCCCGCCCTTCACATGCTGGCCGCGCAGGGCCTTCTCACGAGGCAGAGGTTGCCCGAGTCAGCTTTTGAGGCGCCTGAAAAACCACCTGTGGTCGCGCAGGGTCTTTTCTCAGAAGAGAAGATGCCCGAGTTGACTCAGGCGTCAGCAGTGCAGATGCTGCGTGGCGAGGGGGTTGAAGCAGGGTCCATGGGAGAGGGCGAGCTGGCACGTCTAGTGGCTCAAGGGGGCAGGCGCGAGGCGGAAGTGCTAGGGGGAGTGGAGAGTGGAATGGAAGAAGCAGGTCAGATGGGAGCAGAGGCTGCTGCTGCTGCTGCCCTCCTGCTCACGGATCAGACCACCACCCACTCTGGCCCATCCCCTCAATCTGGCCCGTCCCTTCACTCCCGAGCATCTCCTTTCCCTCTTGTACTCCTCCCAAGCCTCCTGGCCAGGCATGGAAGCGCGGTTCCCCGTGCTGTCTGCGCTGATCAGGTTCGAGGAGAGGTTCGGCATTGGCTCGAGCTCGTGGGAGGAGGTTCGGGCGCTGGGGTTGTGGGAGAGAGCAGCATTGGAGATTCTGGCCGAGGCTCGGGCCGGGCCGCAGAGGTTCAGAGGGGAGATGGCTCGGCCGTACCACAGGGTGCTGATGGCTCTGGTGCTGAGAGGATGGGATGATGAAATTGCTCAGGTGAGAAAGAGAGAAATACCTGGTGCCTGCTGCGGTGACTGCTGCGGTGACTGCTGCGCTGACTGCTGCAGTGACTGCTGCGGTGCCTGCTGAAATGCCTGCTGAGCTGCCAGCTGCTGTGAGTACATGTTGGGTTGCATGTGGGGGATGGCATCTCTCTTCTCTCCACCACTCCTGCCACTGTCTCCCCCACCCCACACCACCACTGCCCCCAGCAGGTGCGGGCATGGATGCAGCAGGACGGAGTGCCTTTAGCGCCCAGCTTCCCCGCACTGCTCGCCCGCCTGCGCCACGTGGGCCAGTCAACGCCCCCTGCTGCGTCCCACGTGCCTCTGCTCTCCATGCTCACCAACAGCCCTGGTGAGTCAGTGTTCACCCGTGCTTGATTCTCTGGTGGTTCTGCTGCTGGTGCCGGTGACTTTTGAGTTAAAATGACGTGCCTGCGCCACGTGGGCCAGTCAAGAACGAACCAACCTGAAGAGTCTAGTAGGACTCTGTGTGAAGCACTAGTGGAGTCTAGTAGGACTCTGTTAACAGCCATGGGTTTTCCGCCATGGCCGCCTGGCAACAGCCTGGTACTTGCATTACGTGAAGCCTACCCGCCTGATGGCTTTAATTTCTCCAGTTTCGGATTCACTACTACGCAAGGAAGAAGACTATATAATTATTGTGTTCAGCATGCGAACATCATATGGTCTTCACCTCGGGTTCCTGCACTGGGTTTGAAAGCTGTTCCCAAGGCTAACGCGTGTTTTTCAAGGTTGTCTGCTGACAAGGCTAAGGAGTTCTCTAAGGTTATCTCGCAGCCGTTTTCTACTGGTTCTGCAGATAATGTTTATCGTCATGACCCAGAAGTTCTCTCTTCGGCTGCACAACACCTGGGACGAGCAATGGCCCGACATTATCAGCATTGCACTACTTATTGTGGAGGTGCTCAGACTCCCGGCTCATCTTTTCAGTCAACCGTTCCACTCAGGCTTACGGCCGGTTTTTGGTCATCATTGCACAATGCCGCCGAAGAACTCCCGCGCTAAGACTACAGCTGAAGCGGTTCCTGATAATACTGCTGGTAGCGCTGATCCTGCAAGCAAGACACCGGGGAAACTGTCAGATCTGACCAAGGCTTTGCCTACGGAAGCGGAAGTGACTGCAGGCAGCTCGGGGCTGTCTATCGAAGAGAAGCTGAAAGCGATGGCAACTGTTGTGCCTGACGAGTCTTTTATCGAAGATGACTCTGATGAGGAGCTGGAGTTTGACGCAACAAAGGACAGCGTCTCTCGTCTCCGCTTCACAGCCATTCTGCTTCTGCCGGTCATTCTCTCGCAGGAAATCAAATCGGTCATCCTTACCGTGCGAACGTTAATGAAGCGGGTTTGGTCGAACATTCTTACTGACGATGTGCTCACCACGGTGAAATTTCAGGAGCTGCTACCTGCTTATGTTGCGAAGACGCGCTACTGCAGGATTCAAGTGTCGTTCCTGCATGAGGCGGATGCGATTAACATAAGACAGACGAAGGTGGATCATCAGCGGTCAAGCGGGTCAGCGGTCATTCAGTGTTTTTGGCTTCATCAGGAGGATGCTGCTTACCTCCGTATGAAGGCTTCAAACCCGAACGTCCTGGAGGTTTATTTCAAGGGTGTGTCTGCGGATATCCCACCGGAGCTGGTCAAGGAGGTGATGGTGGATCGGCCGCTCCGGATGAGAAAGCAGTCAGCGTTCAGCGAAGGCAGCTGCTTCCACCGTGTGCTTCACCCGGTTACCGGTGCTGACACTGATGTCATCAAAGGCTTGGTTGCTCTACACGCAAATGACAAACACCGCTGGCGCCATGAGTTTCGTCACCCGTCGCTTGGTGGAACGGTGCTGTTGGCCCACTACCCCTTGCTATCTTGCTCGCTCTGCGGTGGTCATCATTATGACAAATATCATGATGTGTTCATCGCGGAACGGCAAAATAACATAGGGAAGTGGAGTCTAACTGTGGGAAGGGTGCACAGGATCAACGGTAACAGAGCTTCACGGTTTCATTGCAACAGTCTTTATTGTTTACTCACCTCTTTCAGTCACTGACTTGTCGCTCGTCTCTCGCAGCTGCTTCTCTTCGCACTTCTCCGCTAGTTACGCCGCTCCTCATGGATCCTGCTCTTGTGCTCATCTCCACTGGCAGCAACAGGGAAGAGTGGCTATGCACTCAGGCCAGCTGCGGGAAGACTCATGGGAAAGCTTTCAGGGCAGCTGCAGAGCACATCACCTCTGCACGGCATCTGCTGGGACTGGAGGAGCTCGCCGCTGCAACCCGTCGCTCTCTCGAGAAGCTGAACCTCAGTGTGATACGCAAGGATTACGGGATCTGACGCTATGCCGACTTCAGACCAGTTGTGCAGCTGTAGCCGGAATCTCCTCTGTTGTTGCAGTAGCTTGTTTCATCAGCCTGTGGATGCGTAGAGGCTTTATGGCAGTGGTTAAATGAGTACGAAAAAATTCATCACGGTTGCAGGCCTGAACGTTAACGGCCTGGGGGATGGCACCAAACAACAACGCACTAAAGACTGGATCAGACAAGCAGCAGACATCATTATTCTCTCAGACACTAGACTAACAGCTGATCACCCCTTCTGGACTTCTCTTCGTGTACAGACTGTTCTTACCGCTCCACCTACCGCGAAGGCTGGGGGGGTCTCTCTCATCTGCCGTAGACCGGGTCTTACGCTGCATAATGCCCTGATTCACCCCTCTGGACGGTCGGTTGCAGCTGACCTCCGTCATGACTCCTTTCATCTCACCTTAGTAGCCGTTTACTTCCCTGCTGATGTCGAGGATAGGAAAAGCTTCATTCGCAGAGTCTTGGGTCCGACAGTTGACGCGCTACAGCCTGGTAATCATCTGCTCATTCTGGGAGACATGAACCTGGTAGAAAATCCGCTGTTAGACAGATCATCCAAGAAGGGTACGACGCTGGAGAATGATATGCTTTATCAGCGCGGCTGCAACTTTCGTCTCTCGGATGCCTTCCGGGTTCTACACCCATACAAGAGAGAGTATACCTTTTACTCCTGTGCAAATCAATCCAGCTCTCGCATAGATCGCGCGCTCATCTCGCAATCGCTGCTCTCGCACTTAGAACTTGCCTCGCACATCATGCCGGCTGACCCCATCTCTGACCATAGCTTTGCAGTCAGGGTGGCCTTTCGGATGAAGACGAAAGTTCAGGCTGGTCCAGGGCTATGGCGCCTGCCTGCTCACATGGTTGGGAAGCCGGGGGTACGGAAGATTATTGAGGTGGTGGAAACTCAGGCTGCGAAGCATGGTGACTCCTTCGAGCTGCTGATTTCCCGTCTTAACGCCGGACTTAAGGCATATGCGAAGGAAGAAAGAAAGCGTATCCGGGCGACGATACAGCACCTTCAATGCGTGGTGGCATCCTTAAAGCAGGCCTGGATGCGGGACCCGAGCTGTGACAGAACTAAGAAGCTGCTGGATGAGCGGGAGCTCCAACTTAAAAGTTACCAACAGGTGCGGCAGGAACGACTTCATGAGATGGCTGGGCTGGAGGCGGAGGTTAAGGGAGAAGTTGCGTCGCCTTACCTGTCAGCAAGAGTCAAAGCTCGCAAGGCAGACACGCAGATCACAGAGTTAAGCGTGGCGGGCGGTGTGGTCAGCAGTAACCAGGACATCCTACGGGAAGCTTCACATTTGGGGCCGACAAGCAAAGGACGGTGTCAGATTGGTCTCCAGAGGCTGCCAAGACCTTGTCCCAGGCTGCCGTTGTGTCACTTGAAGCGGATTGGTCGGAGGATGAGGTGAAGCGTGCCTTCCGATCGTTGGCGAACAATAAAGCCCCCGGGAAGGACGGGCTTCCGAAGGAGCTGTTCGAGGCGCACTGGGACGTGTTGGGGAAGCATTTCATGAAGCTGGTTGCAGACTTCTCGGAGTCCGCGGTGCTCCCCACGAGTGCGAAGGACGCCGTTACTATCCTGCTTCACAAAAAAGGGGGGAGAGATCAGATTGAGAACTACAGGCCGATCACTCTACTCAGCTCCGTCTACAAGGTGCTGGCGTGGGTCGTGGCTGACAGGATTAAAAAAGTGCTGCATGAGGTGATATCGACGGAGCAATATGGGTTCTTACCGGGCAGGCGTCTTTCAGATGCGGTCGGCCTGGTAGCTGATGTCATCGAAGCCGCTAAGCATAAAGATGAAGACTGGTACATCTTGCTCGTCGATTTTAAGAAGGCCTTCGATTCCGTCTCGAGAAGTTTCTTGTTTGGTGTTTTGGAGAAAATGGGCTTTCCCCACCGCTCCATTCGCTGGATACAGGGCCTGCATGAAAACACCACGACGAGCCTGTTAATCAATGGTTGGATGGGCGACGCTGTGGAGGTAGTGTCTGGAGTAAGGCAGGGGTGTCCGCTAGCCCCGTACCTGTTTCTGTGCGCAGTGGAGCCGTTGGCGCAGGATGCGGCGAGTCGGAATTTGGGGCTCACAGGAGAAGGGCGTCGTCTGGCGTATCTGGGATATGCTGACGACACCACCCTGCTTCTGGAAGGGGATGCTCAGATTGAGGAGGCTGAAAAACTCTTGGAAAAATTCGAGGGGGACTCGGGCTTGGCTACCAACAAGGGGAAGTCGGTAGTCCTGCCACTGGGGAAGAACCTGAACAAGCAGCCGTGGAAAACGGATGGCTTTAAGTGGGCGAAAGCAGATGATGCGGAGCGTCTGCTGGGTGTGTGGGTGACCCCAGCTGGAAGCTGTGAGCCAACGTGGGAGAGGGCCTTCGCGCAGATTAAGGAGAAGCTAATACTGTGGGAAGCGCAGCACCTCACAACCGGGGCGAGAGCAGCTGTCATTAACTGCTATATCTCACCGATAGTCTTCTTTCAGGCGCAAGTATATCCTCCACCGGTGGGGATCTGGGGGAGAATCATCAAGCTGGTGCATAATTTCATGTCTGGGAACAAGGCCTCTACCGATAAGGGCTTCATCCTATAGAGCAGGGAGCTGTTATATATGTCACGAGAGGATGGGGGAGTTGGTGTGAATGACCTGGAGATCACTCTTACCTGCCTCACGGCCAGACGGATAGAGCTGCTTCTCACCGAGACGGACGCGCTGAAAAAAGACATCATGCTAAAAGCTGCGGACCTGCCGCTAGGGACTGACTCGTTCGTGGCGCACGTGAAGCTGCTGAAGCAGTGGCGTGGGAAGAGCGAGAGGTGGAAGCTGGCATGCAGTAACTTCATGCAATCACCACTGGCTGACATGTCCCGGGAGCTGACAAGGGAAGAGGTGACAGAGGAGCGAATAGTCTTTAATCGCCGCATCTTACTCAACGGCAGAACACCGGTGGGGGGACAGAAAGCTGCGGCGAAGCTGTGGGAGGTCCGTCTACGTGATCTGCTGACGGCGGACGGCGTGGGAGGCTGGAGGGTCAAGGACTCTGTAATCCTCGCAAAGGATCTGAAGGGGAAAGCGGAGGCGAAGCTAGCACTGCGGGCTTGGGAGGCAGTTCCGCAAGAGTGGAAATTGCTACTCCTCTCTGCCGAGCTTTCACCCCCAGCCTGCTCTGCACCGAAACCCTCTCTGTTTCGGACACAAGTTTTTAAGGATGGGCAGCTGCTGTCGATGAAAGAAATGAAGAAGGGCTGTCGGCTGGCAAAACGGCCCTCAACTAAAAGGGAGAAGTGGGCGAGCAGGTGGGGTGGAAGCATCGACTGGAAGAGTGTTATAAAAACCCGCGACTCTCTAGTGACTCCCAGCAGACCAAGGGACGTGCTGCTGAGGATCCACAGCCTTAATTTACAGGTGGGGGAGAGGGTATCCTTCTTAAGCAGCAACCCGGTCTGCCCGCACTGTGGGGAAACCGAAACTCTGGAGCACTGCCTGTTCGCATGCGCTCGTATTCAGCCGGTGGTTGGGGCGGTCAAGAGGGCTCTGCGCCTGCTGAACCCCCAGAGGAAGGTGACGGATCTTGGGGACCTGCTGTTTGGCAAAGCAGCCACCCCCTCGGCTTTTCCAGAGGCTTCGCTGGTGGCCATCGCGCTTCACCAAGTCTGGGTGGAGAGGTGTGAATGTGTCTTCCGTGGGCGGAGATTCCGAGTGAGACGTGTCCTCAGAAAAATCGGGGTGGCGTTTCGCCTGCATGTGAAGGTGTACAGCAGAGCTACAGGACAGAAACCTGGCAAGAAGGGGGGCCAGAAGCAGCCAAACGGTTTGTATGTGCTGGCGGAGCAGGAACAGCGAACTCTTAACCGCATCCGGTTGCTGGAGGGCAAAAGCTGGAAGTGGACCCATACTTTTGGCTCGCTATGGAACTTGGCACGGGGGGCACTGCATCCGCCTTAGTAGGTTTATCTCTGAGGCTAGTCGTTTGGCTAGGCCTCTCACGCTCAGTTACGACTGATGTATGTTAGCTTGCACTTGTATCACCGGTGTATAGTTTACATATTCCACAAAAAAAAAAAAAAAAAACGTGGGCCAGTCAACGCCCTCTGCTGCGTCCCACGTGCCTCTGCTGTCCATGCTCACCCACAGCCCAGGTGAGTCTTGACTTGCGCTGCTGCTGCTGCCGCCCCCGCCGCCGCCGCCGCCGCCTGTGCTACTGCAGCTGCTTCTGCTTCTGCTGCTAACCCCGTCCCCCTCGTCCCTTTCCCCACTCCCTCTCACCCCCGCTCGTCATCAGACTTCACGATCCACAAGCTAGCCTCACAGCAGCAGTGGGATGACATGCTGCTGATGCTCCCCCACGCGCTCACCTGCTACTTTGAGTCGCATGGGTGGGAGCGCATCGCGCTTTGGAGCTCTGCCCTCGCTGCTGTAGGCCAGGCGTGCCGCCCAGACGTGCTCAAGGCGATGGTGGACGCTGCTGAAGCCACGGGGCTGGCTGATGGTGAGTGTGAAGGTTTGTGATACACTTAGTTATGCAGTCTGTGAGGACGCGTGAAAAGCTTACCAGGCGTGCCGCCCCGACGTGCTCAAGAGGATGGGTGGGCGCTGCTGAAGCCACGGGGCTGGCCGATGGTGAGTGGGAAATGAGAGAGCGAGTAGATGCGCGGTGTGCTTTGAAAGCCGATCTGCTGCTCCCCCACGCGCTCACATCGCTCTCTAGGGCTCTGCCCTCACTTCTGTGGGCCAGGCGTGCCGCCCCGACGTGCTCAAGAGGATGGTGGACGCTGCTGAAGCCACAGGGCAGGCCGACGGTGAGTGCGTGCGAGTGCGGAAGAGCAAGTAGGCTGATGATGTGCTTCAAAAGCCTACCAGGCTTCAAAGTGCATCAACTCTCTGTGCTCCTCTCCTCTTCTCTTCCCTCCCGGACGGCACACAGCTGACCCGAAGGCAGTTCCTGGGAGCTGCCACTGCTGCCCTCACCATTCCCCTCACTGCTGCCCTCACCAGCCCCCACTACTGGAAGGGCTTCCGCCCGCTGGTGGAGCAGCAGGGCCGGCAAGTCTCTGACCTCCTCTCCTCTTCCCTCCCCTCCCTCAACCCCTTTCTCCTTCCCCTGCTGCAGCCCCATTCTCCCTCCCGGACGGCACGCAGCTAACACGAAGGCAGTTCCTGGGAGCCAACTACTGGAAGGGCTTTCGGCCGCTCGTGGAGCGGCAGGGGCGGCAGGGGGTGTCAAGGGGCGAGTTTGAGCGCACGTGGGGGCTGGTGAGGGCAGCAGTGGCGGCCACAGGGCTGTATCCGCACGAGGGCATCTCCTCCCACCTCATCTCCGGCCTCTGTGTCAACGGCCAGGTGGGTTCTTCTCTGCTTGTATGTGACGTCCCTCCCTGGTCAATGGCTACGTGCGTGTCTTCAACCCGCTGCTGTTGCAGCACTACTGGCCCTCCTCCCCCATTTCCTGCGCCCTCCCACTCACTTACCTCCCCATCCCCCTCCCGCCGTTCCCCCTCTAACCTCACCCCCCACTCACAGCTCGACAGAGCCATGGACGTGTTGGAGGAGATGCAGCAGATGGGATTCGCCCTCACGCCACGAGTCTTCGACCCGCTGCTGCTGCAGCTGGCGCGCTCCAGGCTCTTCAAGGAGGCGCTCGCCCTGGCTGACGTCATGCGGCGCATGGACGGTGGGCTCACAGTGGCGTCCTTCAGCAGCCTCATAGAGGCATGCCTGCAAGTGGATAACGTGAGTCTCTACACAACATGGGGCATGGGTATGCGAGTCTTGGGTAGGGGCGGTGCTAGGTGTATGTTGTGCTGCGCGGCTTCTGCAGTTCGGACGTTCCAATCCAAGCTCTTCAAAGAGGCGCGCGCCCTGGCTGACGTCATGCGCCGCATGGACGGTGGGCGGGCTGACAGTGGCCTCCTTCAGCAGCCTCGTGGAGGCCTGCCTGCAGGTCGACAATGTGAGTCTCTTGGCGTGGGTGTGTGTGTCCTGGGTGGGGTTGGTGCTAGGTGTAAGCTGCGCTGCTGCTGTTGCTCTTCAAGGAGGCGCTCCCCCTGGCAGTCGTGATGTGGCGCATGGAGGGGGGCTGACTGTCGCCTCTTTCAGCAGATTCATCGAGGCTTGCCTGCAGGTTGATAGTGTGGGTTGCCACACTTAGGGGGTCAGTCTTGATTGGGCGGCTTGGCTGTCAAGTGAGTTGAGAATGGTTCTCTTTATTTTTCTCCACATCCCCATCGCCCGTGGCAGATCCCAATGGCACTGGAGCTGGTAGCGGAGATGAGGAGCACGGGCGTGCAGAGGAACAGCTACATCTACACGCCCATCATCCACGCCTTCTGCAAACAGGCATGTGTTGTGTTGTGACCACAGGACTCCCTCTTGAAAGGCCATGCACGTCAGCAGGCACCTGCAATACTTTTGAGGTTCCTCAAAAGGCACCTGCAATCCACAGCATTCCATTTTTGAGGCGCCTCAGCCGTAAACAGCACGCAGTGTGACCACAGCCAAACCGCCCTCTCTTCAGAAAAGGACACGTCTTGCCATCCAACCTCTCTGCAATAAGACACATCTTGCAATCCACTCCATCTGCAAGCGACCGCGGCCATCATCCACACCTTCTGCAAACCGACAGATTGCGCTCTTTTGGGAAAAAAGACACATCTTGCAATCCACACCATCTGTAAGCAGCCACGTGTTGCAGCCCAGTACACACACACACCCAGTTCCTTCCTGTTAACACTTTCTGTGTCCCTGCCCCCACCTTCCCCCACGTTCCGGCAGCCCAGGGAAAGCTGTCTGCGGCGATGGGGGTGCTGAGGGAGATGATGGCGGACGGCATTCGCCCCAACGTGGTGGTTTTCACGCAGCTGCTGCACGGCTGTGCCCTCGCACGCAACCGCGTCATGGGCATGCGCGTGCATGCCATGATGCAGCAGCACGGCGTGCCCCCCAATGACTACCTGCACGCTGCTATGGTGGAGCTTTACCATAAGACTGGCGACGTGAATGGCGCCATGGAGGTGAGGATATGGGAGGGGTGGAGGGTGGCATGGATGGGTGCGGAATGGTGTGGTTGACTGTGCCCATCCTAATGACTGCGACTGCAGCTCCAGTCCCAAAGCCGGGACTGCAGCTCCAGTCCCCAAGCTGGGACTGCAGCTCCAGTCCCCAAGCCAGGACTGCAGCTCCAGTCCCAAAGCCGGGACTGCAGCTCCATTCCTGAAGCCGGGACTGCAGCTCCAGTCCTAAAGCCGGGACTGCAGCTCCAGTCCCCAAGCTGGGACTGCAGCTCCAGTCCCCAAGCTGGGACTGCAGCTCCAGTCCTAAAGCCGGGACTGCAGCTCCAGTCCTAAAGCCGGGATTGCAGCTCCAGTCCCAAAGCCGGGACTGCAGCTCCAGTCCCAAGGCCGGGACTGCAGCTCCAGTCCCAAAGTCGGGACTGCAGCTCCAGTCCCAAAGGCGGGGCTGCAGCTCCAGTCCCAAAGCCGGGACTGCAGCTCCAGTCCCCAAGCTGGGACTGCAGCTCCAGTCCCCAAGCTGGGACTGCAGCTCCAGTCCCCAAGCTGGGACTGCAGCTCCAGTCCTAAAGCTGGGACTGCAGCTCCAGTCCCCAAGCTGGGACTGCAGCTCCAGTCCCCAAGCTGGGACTGCAGCTCCAGTCCCCAAAAACCTGGGACTGCAGCTCCAGTCCCAAACCCGGGACTGCAGCTCCAGTCCCAAAGCCGGGACTGCAGCTCCAGTCCCCAAGCTGGGACTGCAGCTCCAGTCCCCAAGCTGGGACTGCAGCTCCAGTCCTAAAGTCGGTACTGCAGCTCCAGTCCCAAACCCGGGACTGCAGCTCCAGTCCCAAACCCGGGACTGCAGCTCCAGTCCTAAATCCGGGACTGCAGCTCCAGTCCCAAAGCCGGGACTGCAGCTCCAGTCCCCAAGCTGGGACTGCAGCTCCAGTCCCCAAGCTGGGACTGCAGCTCCATTTTCAAACCCGGGACTGCAGCTCCAGTCCCAAACCCGGGACTGCAGCTCCAGTCCCAAAGCCGGGACTGCAGCTCCAGTCCCCAAGCTGGGACTGCAGCTCCAGTCCCCAAGCTGGGACTGCAGCTCCAGTCCCAAAGGCGGGGCTGCAGCTCCAGTCCCAAAGGCGGGGCTGCAGCTCCAGTCCCAAAGCCGGGACTGCAGCTCCAGTCCCCAAGCTGGGACTGCAGCTCCAGTCCCCAAGCTGGGACTGCAGCTCCAGTCCCCAAGCTGGGACTGCAGCTCCAGTCCCCAAGCTGGGACTGCAGCTCCAGTCCCCAAGCTGGGACTGCAGCTCCAGTCCCCAAGCTGGGACTGCAGCTCCAGTCCCCAAGCTGGGACTGCAGCTCCAGTCCCCAAGCTGGGACTGCAGCTCCAGTCCCCAAGCTGGGACTGCAGCTCCAGTCCCCAAGCTGGGACTGCAGCTCCAGTCCCCAAGCTGGGACTGCAGCTCCAGTCCCCAAGCTGGGACTGCAGCTCCAGTCCCCAAGCTGGGACTGCAGCTCCAGTCGCAAAGCCGGGGCTGCAGCTCCAGTCCCAAAGCCGGGACTGCAGCTCCAGTCCCCAAGCTGGGACTGCAGCTCCAGTCCCCAAGCTGGGACTGCAGCTCCAGTCCCCAAGCTGGGACTGCAGCTCCAGTCCCCAAGCTGGGACTGCAGCTCCAGTCCCCAAGCTGGGACTGCAGCTCCAGTCCCCAAGCTGGGACTGCAGCTCCAGTCCGAAAGCCGGGACTGCAGCTCCAGTCCCAAAGCCGTGACTGCAGCTCCAGTCCCAAAGCCGGGACTGCAGCTCCAGTCCCCAAGCTGGGACTGCAGCTCCAGTCCCCAAGCTGGGACTGCAGCTCCAGTCCCCAAGCTGGGACTGCAGCTCCAGTCCCCAAGCTGGGACTGCAGCTCCAGTCCCCAAGCTGGGACTGCAGCTCCAGTCCCCAAGCTGGGACTGCAGCTCCAGTCCCCAAGCTGGGACTGCAGCTCCAGTCCCCAAGCTGGGACTGCAGCTCCAGTCCCCAAGCTGGGACTGCAGCTCCAGTCCCCAAGCTGGGACTGCAGCTCCAGTCCCCAAGCTGGGACTGCAGCTCCAGTCCCCAAGCTGGGACTGCAGCTCCAGTCCCCAAGCTGGGACTGCAGCTCCAGTCCCCAAGCTGGGACTGCAGCTCCAGTCCCCAAGCTGGGACTGCAGCTCCAGTCCCCAAGCTGGGACTGCAGCTCCAGTCCCCAAGCTGGGACTGCAGCTCCAGTCCCAAACCCGGGACTGCAGCTCCAGTCCCAAACCCGGGACTGCAGCTCCAGTCCCAAACCCGGGACTGCAGCTCCAGTCCCAAAGCCGGGACTGCAGCTCCAGTCCCCAAGCTGGGACTGCAGCTCCAGTCCCTAAGCTGGGACTGCAGCTCCAGTCCCCAAGCTGGGACTGCAGCTCCAGTCCCCAAGCTGGGACTGCAGCTCCAGTCCCCAAGCTGGGACTGCAGCTCCAGTCCCCAAGCTGGGACTGCAGCTCCAGTCCCCAAGCTGGGACTGCAGCTCCAGTCCCCAAGCTGGGACTGCAGCTCCAGTCCCCAAGCTGGGACTGCAGCTCCAGTCCCCAAGCTGGGACTGCAGCTCCAGTCCCCAAGCTGGGACTGCAGCTCCAGTCCCCAAGCTGGGACTGCAGCTCCAGTCCCCAAGCTGGGACTGCAGCTCCAGTCCCCAAGCTGGGACTGCAGCTCCAGTCCCCAAGCTGGGACTGCAGCTCCAGTCCCCAAGCTGGGACTGCAGCTCCAGTCCCCAAGCTGGGACTGCAGCTCCAGTCCCCAAGCTGGGACTGCAGCTCCAGTCCCAAAGCCGGCGGGACTGCAGCTCCAGTCCCAAAGCCGGGACTGCAGCTCCAGTCCCCAAGCTGGGACTGCAGCTCCAGTCCCCAAGCTGGGACTGCAGCTCCAGTCCCCAAGCTGGGACTGCAGCTCCAGTCCCCAAGCTGGGACTGCAGCTCCAGTCCTAAAGCCGTGACTGCAGCTCCAGTCCTAAAGCCGGGACTGCAGCTCCAGTCCCCAAGCTGGGACTGCAGCTCCAGTCCCCAAGCTGGGACTGCAGCTCCAGTCCCCAAGCTGGGACTGCAGCTCCAGTCCCCAAGCTGGGACTGCAGCTCCAGTCCCCAAGCTGGGACTGCAGCTCCAGTCCCCAAGCTGGGACTGCAGCTCCAGTCCCCAAGCTGGGACTGCAGCTCCAGTCCCCAAGCTGGGACTGCAGCTCCAGTCCCCAAGCTGGGACTGCAGCTCCAGTCCCCAAGCTGGGACTGCAGCTCCAGTCCCCAAGCTGGGACTGCAGCTCCAGTCCCAAAGCCGGCGGGACTGCAGCTCCAGTCCCAAAGCCAGGACTGCAGCTCCAGTCCCAAAGCCGGGACTGCAGCTCCAGTCCCCAAGCTGGGACTGCAGCTCCAGTCCCCAAGCTGGGACTGCAGCTCCAGTCCCCAAGCTGGGACTGCAGCTCCAGTCCTAAAGCCGTGACTGCAGCTCCAGTCCTAAAGCCGGGACTGCAGCTCCAGTCCCCAAGCTGGGACTGCAGCTCCAGTCCCCAAGCTGGGACTGCAGCTCCAGTCCCCAAGCTGGGACTGCAGCTCCAGTCCCCAAGCTGGGACTGCAGCTCCAGTCCCCAAGCTGGGACTGCAGCTCCAGTCCCCAAGCTGGGACTGCAGCTCCAGTCCCCAAGCTGGGACTGCAGCTCCAGTCCCCAAGCTGGGACTGCAGCTCCAGTCCCCAAGCTGGGACTGCAGCTCCAGTCCCCAAGCTGGGACTGCAGCTCCAGTCCCATAGCCGGGACTGCAGCTCCAGTCCCCAAGCTGGGACTGCAGCTCCAGTCCCCAAGCTGGGACTGCAGCTCCAGTCCCCAAGCTGGGACTGCAGCTCCAGTCCCCAAGCTGGGACTGCAGCTCCAGTCCCCAAGCTGGGACTGCAGCTCCAGTCCCCAAGCTGGGACTGCAGCTCCAGTCCCCAAGCTGGGACTGCAGCTCCAGTCCCCAAGCTGGGACTGCAGCTCCAGTCCCCAAGCTGGGACTGCAGCTCCAGTCCCCAAGCTGGGACTGCAGCTCCAGTCCCCAAGCTGGGACTGCAGCTCCAGTCCCCAAGCTGGGACTGCAGCTCCAGTCCCCAAGCTGGGACTGCAGCTCCAGTCCCCAAGCTGGGACTGCAGCTCCAGTCCCCAAGCTGGGACTGCAGCTCCAGTCCCCAAGCTGGGACTGCAGCTCCAGTCCCCAAGCTGGGACTGCAGCTCCAGTCCCCAAGCTGGGACTGCAGCTCCAGTCCCCAAGCTGGGACTGCAGCTCCAGTCCCCAAGCTGGGACTGCAGCTCCAGTCCCCAAGCTGGGACTGCAGCTCCAGTCCCCAAGCTGGGACTGCAGCTCCAGTCCCCAAGCTGGGACTGCAGCTCCAGTCCCCAAGCTGGGACTGCAGCTCCAGTCCCCAAGCTGGGACTGCAGCTCCAGTCCCCAAGCTGGGACTGCAGCTCCAGTCCTAAAGCCGGGACTGCAGCTCCAGTCCTAAAGCCGGGACTGCAGCTCCAGTCCCCAAGCTGGGACTGCAGCTCCAGTCCCCAAGCTGGGACTGCAGCTCCAGTCCCCAAGCTGGGACTGCAGCTCCAGTCCCCAAGCTGGGACTGCAGCTCCAGTCCCCAAGCTGGGACTGCAGCTCCAGTCCCCAAGCTGGGACTGCAGCTCCAGTCCCCAAGCTGGGACTGCAGCTCCAGTCCTAAAGCCGGGACTGCAGCTCCAGTCCCCAAGCTGGGACTGCAGCTCCAGTCCCCAAGCTGGGACTGCAGCTCCAGTCCCCAAGCTGGGACTGCAGCTCCAGTCCCCAAGCTGGGACTGCAGCTCCAGTCCCCAAGCTGGGACTGCAGCTCCAGTCCCCAAGCTGGGACTGCAGCTCCAGTCCCTAAGCCGGGACTGCAGCTCCAGTCCCCAAGCTGGGACTGCAGCTCCAGTCCCCAAGCTGGGACTGCAGCTCCAGTCCCCAAGCTGGGACTGCAGCTCCAGTCCCCAAGCTGGGACTGCAGCTCCAGTCCCCAAGCTGGGACTGCAGCTCCAGTCCCCAAGCTGGGAC